TTTTTTTTTTTTTTTTTTTTTTTTTTAAATGGAGTGATTCTTGCTTACGTATGGGTATGAAAGTCCCATGCAATCGCAACTACAGAGACTGAACTTGCAGGCATTTAGGTCAGAGGGGTTTTCCTGCCGAAAAGTGAAGAATTATTAGACTAAGTAGTAACTGACTAACTCCATATTTGAGTCAATAGGATGGGTACCAAATGCCCTGTGGGAGTGCAAAGCCAATAAAGTCAGATAATAGTTTAAAAATATGGGGAGGTTTATTCTTGGCTGATAGGTCTTTGGTACAAGGTAGGTGGGCAGTGCAGCCTGCACTAGGAGGTCCTCATTACAGTGCTGAGCTGTGGCACCATTTCTTTTTAGCCAAATTTTGAGTGACCAGAATTCCTGATGCTAGAAATGTAAGGCTCAAGTAGAGACAAAAGACCGGCATGAAATTTGCACCCCAAGTTATCTGTGGAGAGTGAAACTGGACAAGAAAAATAACACAATTGGGGTAAGGCATAAATAAGGATCAAGACTTTACTTTTGGCTACTTATTTCAGCTTTAAACCAGTTTAACTGGTACACAAGCATCTTGATCCATGAATAGTAAAGTGTCCATCTACAGACTTGATCAACACTTTTTTTTCTTTGTTTATATTACCAAAACCTAGTTGAAAGACAACTACAACCGAGACAGATGGTCCAAGCAATGACTCTAGCTGGTAGTTCAGAATAATATAAGATATTGGTGGATGAAGAACAATTACTTTCTCAGTTGGGGTAAGAAAGCTGTTGGCTTTACTTTTTGGGGCACTGAATACTTAACTAAATAATGTTTCAGTATAGGTTAGAATTCTCTCTGACTCTGTAAATTTAAAATGTGCTTATTTGATATACAAATAGAAAAACTCTTCCTGCACAGAAAGGTGAATCTAAAATTTGTAGAATTTCCAAGTAACACTCACGTCCTGTACAACGCTTCCAGTGTTCTTGTCCCACCGTCAGCAACTCTTTAACTCCATCATCCATGGATTTGGTGAACCTACCAACTGCATCACATTTCTGTTCTCTGTGAAGTATAAATATACTTCTATTACAGACAGACAAAGGGTGGTTCAAGCTTACTACAGTCAGGATTTAGCGATTCTCCGTCTCATTTTTTTAAACAAATGCCCAATTTCTTAAATTTTACAATGCTCAACTACAAGTAAAATTTCACAGAAAAAAAAAACTGAGGGGGAAAAAGTCCAGCCTCCATTGATATGAATGGGTTCAGAATTTCAATCCAGGTGCTCACTCAATCCCTCACACTGTAAAATTCTGCTACTTTCCTTCCTCTAACACGTCTGAAATTGAACTAGCATGCTTGATACAGTAAGGGCGCATCTACACAAGACGCTTTACTGTGCAGACTAATTTACAGTGTGGTAAAATGTCACCATGAACACATACACAGCAATTAAGGTGCAGTAGACTAAATTTACTGTGCTGCCAGACAGTCCAGTCAGATACAAGTGGTACCCAGCAGCACAGTAAATTACTGTGCTTAAACACACGTAGATGGTGATATCGGGATTAGTTTACTCTGGCTCAAATTGAGATGTTGTATATCCAGTCACATTAACTGCATGTGTAAATACACCCTAGAACAGGTAACAAAAGATTTAAGGAGCTAATGCATGGCATTATCTCTTTGACAACAATATTTTGTTAGAAAAGAATGCTATTCTCTGAAGCTGTGTGTTTTAAGTCTCATAAAAAAGAAGAACCCTCCGAGTACTAACTATGCATTTTTCTTCTTTTTCAAAAGTTAAACATGAATAAAAATTAGAACACTGGGTTTTCGGTTGTAGCCGTGTTGGTCTAAGGACATAGGCAGGCAAGGTTCTTTGGGTAGATGCGATATCTTTTATTAGACCAACTGAGTAGCTGGAAAAAAGTTCCATGGCATGGGGAGCCTCTGCTGTTCTGAGACTCCAAGGAATGAGAGAAACAAAAAGTGTGATAGGATGTCAATGAGAACGTAAATAGGGTAGAAAATCGGAAGACAAAAGGTAAAGCAGGGAAGGTGGGGGTGGGGAAGCAGGGGAGAAAAAAAGCCAAAAGGTGAGTGGGGAGACTCTACAGTGGTAGTAATTGAAGAAATAAAAGAGGCTGTCAGTTGTGAAAAAGGAAAAAGCTGGAAATTGGGAAGACAAAGGGCAGAAAAGAAGGGGAGGGGAACAAAGTGGGAGGGAGAAGGAGGAAAGCAAAAAGTATATGAGGTCAGGTCTGGCCAGGTACCTCATGAATCAGATACCAGGCAGGCTGTAGCGGGTCATAAATCAAATATCTATATTGATTGAATCCATGATTTTTGTATCTGGTAGATTTATGAAGCGAAATTCGTAGGCTAGTATACGAAAGGTGTTTTGTAAGTTCCCTTTGAGGATTAGAACTGAGAGATCGGAGACGGAGCGACTGTCTTGTGAGAAATGCGCCCCCACAGGTAGCTGAGTACTTTTTGTCTTTTCGGTGTGTGTTCATTCTGCTGAGCAGTTGTTTGGTTTCTCCGATATATTTTCCATCAGGGCATCTGGTGCACTGGATGAGATGTGTAACGTTTATGGAGGTTCAGGTGCAAGATCCAGGAACGGTGATGGTTCTGTTGTGGGGTACAGTAACTGTGGGGGTGGTGAAGATGTATTGGCAGGTTTTATATTTCTTGTCCCAGCATGGTCTGGATCTATTAGGTGTGGCTTGGGTCATAGGGAGTTTGCTTCTGGTGATGAGGTTAGCAAGGTTTGGTGCTTGTTTAAAGGCTAGGGCGGGTGGTTCTGGAAAGATCTCTTTCAGAATGAGGTTGTCTTCTAGTATGGGTTGCACATGTTTGAGGATTTTCCATGTAGGTTCCGGGGAAAGATGGTATGTCGTAACTACTGGTGTGCAATTTGTGAGGATTTTATTTTTGTATTGCTGCAAATCTCCATGTAAAGCTATAGGACAGTCCTCCAGCATCCCAGGGTGCTTTGCTCTGTCCTTCCCCTAGGAGATGATGCATCACTTGTTGGACTCTACTTGCTCCATCTGACCAGGAAGCAGAACATTCCCTGAAGCAGCGTGGGACTATGAAAGGGGTGACAGGCTCACCATCAACAGTCTGGGTCAACCAATCAGTCAGCTTAGAGACAGATGCCAGGACTGCCCGGGAGAGCCCTGAGGGAGTCTGCAGAGCAGGCTGTGATGTGTGCTGCATAGCATCCACACTGTGAATTGTCTGCTCTTCAAAGGCTCAGCACTTGAATGTCTGTTCAGGTGTCTCCAGGTAAGTTTTTCTATCAGGAAGACAAATCTGGAAGAAGTCTCCCAGATGGTTGTCATATTGAATGTAATAGTTTGAATGCTTGTAATAAATACCCATCAGCCAGCTTAGAAAAAAAGGCAAGGTTCATCATCTTATCTAGGCTCATTGCTTGTTTTTGCCTACGTTTTTGGATTTTATCTTCAGAAGCCTTTAACAAAGTTAACCTAAAAACGACCCTTAGGCAAACATTCCGAGAGATCAAAACCTAGGGGCTTTTGAAAGGGGGTTGGGAAGAAAGGTCACCGCAGTGGTGTGGAAAATCTCCAAAGAGCAAGAACACATACTGACCACCCAGCAAAAATCTGTTAAGTAAGATCTGAGCCCAAATTTGGGAATAGTGACAGATTTGGGTAGGAGGGGCCCATGACAGCAACTTACCCAATAAAAACTGTAACCTGCAGTCCCAATTTGGAGGTAACCTCACTTGCAGAACACCGAAGGAAGAATTGCAAGTGTAGGCTGAATCAGACTGATCACCTGAACCACCCTCTCCGTGAACAAGAACTCCCGTTCACGCTGAAGCCTAGGAGAGCCCAAGTGGGACCGAAGGAAAGGGGACTCATTCCTATCATCTGCTAAGACCAACCCTAAAAACCATAACTAAAGAATGAAAGTATATCTGGGGATTTGGTTTCTCAGAATTCTAGGATTGTAAGCATTTGGTGCACTGGATGAAACGTATAACATTTCTGGATGTGCAGGTGCAAGATCCAGGAATGGTGATGGTTCTGTTGTGGGGTATAGTAACTGTGGGGGTAGTGAAGATGTATTGGCAGGTTTTATATTTCTTGTCCCAGCATGGTCTGGATCCATTAGGTGTGGTTTGGGTCATAAGGAGTTCACTTCTGGTGATGAGGTTAGCGAGGTTTCTGTCCTCTGTCTTCCTAATTTTCAGGTATTTCCTTTTCCATAGACAGCTTCTTTTCTGTTTTCGATTACTATTACTGTAGAGTCTCCCTGACTTGCCTTTGGCTTTTTTCTGCCCCTTGCTTTTTGCCCACTCCCTTCCCTGCTTTAACTTTTGTTTTCCAAATTCCTACTTATTTACATTCTCACTGACATCCTGTCATACTTTTAGCATCTCTCATTCCTTGGAGTCTCTGCAGCTGCCTGGCCCCAGGCCAGGCTGCCAGGGAAGCAAGCACCAGGCCAGGGCCCAATCCTTTTGTTCAAATGGGCAAGTGCAGGGCACATGGGGTCAGACGTGTGCGCACTGGTTCCCACCTGTACTGCAGGGCTGGGGCTGAGGGGGTTGGGAGGGAGCAAGTTCATGGGAATTGGTGACAGCCTGGTGGTGGCCCTAGGGCCAGCATCCGCAAGGCCCAGAGCAGGATGGCAGAAGCCTGGGGCACAGCCAGCTGGGCTCTACAGAGCCAGGCTGTACTGTGCCAGAGAGAGAGGGGAGCTGCCCCACTCTGGGCCCCACAAGTGCTGGCCCCAGGACACAGGCGCTGGCTCCCGCTTGCTCCTAGCCCCACAGTCAGGTGGGGACCAGTGTGTGCAGCCCTGACCCCGCGTACCCTGTGCTCGTCTGTCTGGGTGAAAGAATGCTGGCTGTTGCTGGCTTCCACATGTCTACTCGCTCCCAGCTGCCTGTCTGGACCATGGGACTCAGCAGGAGCTGGCCCAGCCCCAAGGACTGGGGCAATCACCTGTGGTCCTCCCCTACCTCCCTGCTCTTACCTGAATTTCCCACACTGGCACAGCCACTAACAGCCTCACAGTCCCAGACCAGAAGCCTCTACTAGGGGGCAGGGGCATGCTGTGGCTTCCCCTGGGTCCTACTGCCCCTGACAGGAGCCAGGGGCAGATGGAGTATTAATTTTTAAATTTTTTAGGGGCCCCACGGGCCAGACTGAATGGCCTGGCAGGCTGGATCTGGCCTGTGGGCCATATTTTGCCCACCCCTGCACTAAATGCTCAAGAACAGGCTTCATCCAAAAATGGATGCAGCATGCTACTGCTATTCTAAAAACTTCTCATTCAGGCTATAAGTAGATATTGCATTTATCTCATTTTATCACAGGACAAAGTGTGATTGTTCTGATATCCATGTCTGTTGTCTCAGGACAAATCCTAAAGATTTACAAGATAAATACTAACAGTTTATCTACGGGCATTACAAAATGGCTATACCAGGATTGCATCATTGAATCAATGGCAAAAAAGTGGCAGTTCATTCAGCCACTCTCTAACTCCTGATTAGAAGGGCGATGTGCGTACACACCAATCGCAGGATATTTTTGTTTTGGGACAAACAAGCACAACTGGCCTAAGACAACTGAAATGTCTACTCCTAGCCACAGCTGCATCAATTCATTCACATACATTTATCAGTTCTAGAAGACATCATGGAAAACCCTCATGTTCTCCAGAATATAGTAGGATGTGGGGGGGGGGGACAACCTAAAAACCAGCCA